GTACTGATTCAGAAAACTAAGGGTTTATTTCAATAACTTCTGTTGTTTGTAAGGCTATGAAAAAGTTACTTCTCGACTTTATGGTAGACCATTTGTATACCCACTATTTATTACCCTGTCATCAACATGGATTTAGTCAAAATTGTTCGACTAATTTTTTAGAAGGATTTCAAAAGCTCATAATGATTGCTGCTCTGATCAACTAACTGTTTTTAATTTCACAAAAGCATTTGATTGTGTCTCACACATTTTTTTTCTCCTGCAACTAATGGGATACGGTTTCTGTGACATTTCTGTGATCCTAAGCTGGATAAAAGATTTTTTTAACAATAGAAAACAACTTAACTTTTAAAACACTCTCAGTGTTTGATGAGTTAAGCGAACCAAAATCGTTTTCTTTAGTTCGCTCTAACTACAAAAAATGGTATGCTTAACTCATCAAACACTCTTAGAGTTTGATGAGTTAAGCATACCATTTTTGAAAATGTCTATACTGAAATATCACTTGGTGTTTAATTCAACAATAAACTTAATTGGTAAATAAACAAATAAACAAATGACTTTTATTTATCGGAATCCAATTATGTTTTGGAAACTTTAATACTACCTATTAACGCGCATTGCTCGAGTTATGCGCTTTAATATGGACCCCTATTAAAAGATTATTTGTGCTTAATTTATTGTTTACCAGAGTTATTTTGTGAGAAAACAATACATTTGTAAATAATATTTTTTGAGAAACATTTTTCATTCTTAGGGCAGCAGATTTTTTGCCTACAAAATCAATCTTTAGTGTTTTTTTTCTTTAAGAAATTTTTTTTTATTAATTATGCAAAATTTGATCAAGATTTTTTGAATAGAAAACCATGGAGTAGAATGAGGCTTGACTTATAACCGACGCAAAGGAATAAAAGCTTCCATTCCAGTCTGAATCCAGGAGGTTACGTAGGAGGCGCATTTGTCAGCTGAGAGAGAAAAAACATCAGCCCAAGGACCATCACAAAGAAAATCTTGAAAGAAATCCCAGTCAGCTTTAGGGTAGTAGTAGGTGGTGCGATGATAAGGTGAGCCCAAAAAAGAAGCACGAAAAGAAAGATTTATAGAGATCATTGCATGGTCAGAACCACCTAAGAGAGAAAAGGGAGAAACTGAACATAAGCTAGGGTCAGAGACAAGACATAAATCAAGGAGTGAAGGTAAATGATTAGGGTTGTCAGGAAAACGAGTCACAAAGTTAACTATCTGAGTAAGAGATTGAGAAACGCAGAAGTTAAAGGCTTTAGTGCCAGCAGGATCAGTGGTGTTAGAGATAAGCCATTCAGTGTGATGGGCATTAAAATCACCAACAACAACAATATTGGCAGAGGGGTAAAGAGAAAGGGCATGGTCAATTTGATCAGATATGACATCTAAAAGAGTGCAATCATGGGAAGAAGTGGTGATAGAGTGAAGAGATTTGGATTTAATGAGAACTTGACTCATTCATAGAAAGAGCACAGCCTCCTAATCAATGAGCAATGCAGTTGTCTCAGTCCTGTTAATTAACCCTAAGCAGTGACATAGGGCTCCTTATGTGACCTTGACAATGCACACCAAGAGCATTAACAGGGACACCATCCATGCGCAACATGGCACTGTTAATACTCTGATATTTTGCAGCTGTTGATGGAATCAGCCTCTCTGAGAGCTATTGTATATATGGTTTCCATGAGAGATCATTAGTAAACCATAAGTTGCAGGAATTAATAAATGTCTTAACTGTTGGAGCATAAATTTGTGAATTTGTAAGAGTATATTATGAAAATAATGCAATGTGGTTTAATAGTTTAGTTTTAAAATTTTTAATTTCAAATTATACAAGCATAAATTTAAAAAGGTGAATTTTTTTGATGTCACATTTAACCTCTTGGAAAATTCATCAAAGTCTTTCAAAAATCTGAATGAAGAATTATTGTATGTTAATATCAAGATAAAACCATCCACCCCAAATTTCAGCAAATACCAGGCTAAACCGAAACTTCTCTGGTAAAAATGTGTTTGGTTCCTCTAAACGCATTTTTAAAAATACCCTTGAAAAAAGTAAAATTCAAAACCCCCATATAACAAAAACATTAACCCCCATATAACAAAAAATGTTTCCAATAACATAGGAAAAATATTATTAAAATTAGTGGGTAAAAACTTCCTGCCCTCTAACAGTTACACAAAAAAGGTCAAAAAAATTTTAAAATGTCACAATAATAGTTTGCTAAACAAAAAAGAAATTCTAAATGAAGAAATTACAGAAAATAGTAACTGTAGACAAAAAAATTGCCAAAAGAGTGGAAAATATTTATGAAAAAATATAAATGTGTTGTTTCTTCTAAGAATATACAATACATTGGCTTTATAGAGAGTGACTGGAAAATTGTTTTGCTAATCATAAGCAATCCTTTAAAAATAAGAAGTATTCAAAAGGCACCATACTGTCAAAATACGTATAAGAATATATATATACATA